CCTTCCTTCCTTCCTTCCTTCCTTCCTTCCTTCCTTCCTTCCTTCCTCCTCTTTAACAGAAGGTTGAAAGGTTTGTTGTTGTTAGTTTACCTTTTGGTGTTTAAAAATAGCACTGACTTTTCATTTTTAAAAATACTATTTTGACAAGGAGAGCAACAGAACCAGAAAAATTGAACACAGGGGTCTTCCCAGAGACTCATACTCCAACCAAGTACCATGCATGGAGATAACCTAGAACCCCTGCACAGATGTAGCCCCTGGCAGTTTAGTGTCCAAGTAGGTTATATAGTAATGGGAAGAGGGACTGCCTCTGACATAATCTGATTGGCCTGCTCTTTGATTACCTCCCTCTGAGGGGGAACAGTCTTACCAGGCCACAGAAGATGACAATGCAGCCACTCCTGATGAGATCTGATAGACTAAGATCAGAAGGAAGGAAAAGAAGACCTCCCCTATCAGTGGACTTGGGGAGGGGCATGCATGAAGAAGGGGGAGGGAGGGTGGGAGGGAAGAAGGGAGGGGCTTATGGGGGGATATAAAGTGAATAAAGTGATTAATAAAAAATAAATAAAAAAATTATAAAAAATACTATTTTGACTGGGCAGTGGTAGCACATGCCTTTGAACCCAGCACTTGGGAGGCAGAAACAGGTGGATCTCTAGAGTTTGAGGACAGCTGAGTCTACACAGAGAAATCCTGTCTTGAAAAACAAAAAAAAAGGGGGGGGGAGAAAAAGAACATTTTTATGCGTGTATGATGTCACTTCCTTTTTTTAGGTTATTGTTTTATGTGTGTATGATGTGTGTTCTTAGTTGTGGTATATGTATGAAGGTCAGAGAACCTTTGGGAATCGGTTTTTCTCCTCCCTTTATGGGGTTCTGGCAGTCAACTTTGGAGGAATATGCTTTACCTACTGAGGGGCAGACATCTTGCCGCTTTACTCATCTTGCCAGCTCTTAATTTGGTTTTTTGAAACAGAGACTCACTGTGTAGCCCAGGCTGGTCTCCAGTTCAGATTCCTTCTATCTTTGCTGCTAGAATACTGATATTATATTCATGAGCCACTACACTTTGCTTCTGGCCTTTGAATTTCTAGCACATGTGCCTAACAACTATTAAGAGCTCAATATATATGGCAGAGTAAAAATATTGTTTGTTGATATGTATGTTACATATCTCCCTCCGTGACTGAAATGACATGGAAATAATGTTGGCCATGCTGGTGGCTTAGGCCTGTAATTCTACAAGTCTAAAGCAGGAGTGTAGCAAGTTTAGGGCCTACCTGGGCTACAGAGTAGTCCAGATCAGCCCAGGCAACTTAGCAAGAGCCTGTCTTACAACAAAAACTGTCTTTCAAAAAGGACTGAGGTGTACCATGTGCTAGAAGGTCATACATATCCTTAGTGCTGAGAAAAAAAAAAAAAAACTTTCAAATAATGAGGGTGGACCATTTAAAATCAACTTAAAGGAAGTGCCCTTGGATCCTGTTGCTTCTCTGTGGTACTCTATTTCCTGCTTCATTGCTTTACCAGTGTGTCTTGTGCTGTTTTTCTTATCTTGGGTTTTTTTTTGGTCTAAGGATTTGAGAAACAGTTTGTTTTTATAAACTTGTACCAAATATTAATCTTGTTACAAACTTGTACCTTTGTTGAACTGTGGGAAGAACAGTTTGCTGCTAACTTGCCTCAATTGACTTTTGTTTTTCTTAGATTCCTCCTGCTGAAGAGAGGAAATCTCATTCAAGGCCACAATGTCACTTCCCGATTATCCAAGTGGTGCCTACTTAAGCTAACACTGCCAGAATCCTGCTTGTTTGGGAGGAATTAAGCTGACTTGGCATGAGGTTCCTGCCTTCCTGGGGTTGAGAGAAGCACAATTATGGCTTCTCTTGATGACCCAGGGGAAGTGAGGGAAGGCTTCCTGTGCCCTTTGTGCCTGAAGGACCTTCAGTCTTTCTATCAACTTCAGTCACATTATGAGGAAGAACACTCAGAAGATCGTGATGTCAAAGGGCAAATTAAAAGTAAGAAGCGGGGGTCTTGCTCATTCCATTCTATTAAAGAGACCTTACTTAATGGAATAGATTTACAGACTTTCATATTCCTACTGGGTTTATGACACAAATAATAATGGTAGCAACCCGATGTGCTTGCTTTGTTGATTCTCTCTCTGTGTTTACTTATGTCTGTCTGTCTGTCTCTCTATCTATCTTGGAGACAGAGTCTCTCTCTATGTAGTCCTGGCTGTCCTAGAACTCAGTGTGTAGACCAGGCTGACCTCACAGAGATTTGCCTACTTCTGCCTCCTGCGTGCTGGCGTTAAAGGTGTGCACCACCAGGCCCAGTCCTTGTTTATAATATTTAATCTACATGGCAGCTATGCTACTGGGAGTTCCATTTTGCTGGCTAGGGTACCATATTCAGAGAGATTAGATAGTCTGTCTAAAGTCACCCAAATTGAGTAATTCTGGCTTTAAGCTAATAAACATAACCCCTGTGGTCCTCTGTCTCCTACTTGATTACTCAGATTATCTCACCTTGAGCCTGGAATGGTTTGAGCAAGAATGTTTATCCTTTGCTATAAAAGTGGAGGCCCAATATGCACTATTTGCCTGTCACTAATTTAAGCCTTCCTACCATCCCTTCTTCCTTGGCTAGACCCTGCCCTCTGCAGCCCAGGAAAAGGAAACAACCTTCAAAGTTAATTTTTTTTTAAGCTTCCAGTTGTAGAAAGAAGTCTTCAAAGGTTATTTTTGACTATACCTAATATAAGCTTTTGCTCTTCTGGAGTTAAGTCACATCTCTTCCTGAATAAGCTAATTTGCATCTTTCACTTGGCAGCATTTCTGGAGGCCAGAAGAGTCATAGAGTTTGGACACTAGATTTAATCTGTACTAGATGGCATGTCTAGTGGACTCTGTTTTCCAGACTCTTTGATTCACATCCACCTTGGACTTCCATACTCCATTTTCATTCATTAAAAAAAAAAAAAAAGAACTGGGCAGTAGTGGTGCATGCCTTTAATCCTAGTACTCAGGAGACAGACAGACAGATCTCTGAGTTTGAGGACAGGCTGGTTTACAGATCTCCAGGACAGCCAAGGCTATACAGAGAAAGTCTGTCTTGAAAAACCAAAACCAAACCAAACAAACAAAAACCTGGGAATATCAGCATAACATTAGTTACAATTTCATATAAAAACATGATGAAGCCAGCTGTTTTCATAATCTTCAGAGCTGTGATTATCCAACAAACTCCTGACTATAAACCACTAAGCAAAACCAGGAACTGCCAACGGCATACAGGAAAGGGTGGTGCTTTGTAATGTTTGCAGTTTCTTTCATGTGCATTGTCATGTTACTTGACTCTCCCAGGAAGCTTTCTGGAGGGTGCTTAGTGTCATATTATAGATAAGCGTGGCTCAGAGACATCCAGTAATGTTTCCAAAGTCACACAGCAATTGGCAGAAAGAGGGCTGGAACCCAGATCTTCTTCCATCTGGAAATCCAGTGCAGCTTTTTCTAAAGGGCATCACTGATGGTAAAAAATCTTCTATCCTGATCACAGCATACATTGCAGCTTCAAGGGGGTGGGGTGGGGGGAAGGGAAGAAAAAGCCCCAAACCAGATTATCTAAGCTTCCTGTGGACAACCAGAGGGTTTTCCAGAAGCTTCCATCTTGGCATTGCTGACCTCAGTTATACACCATACTATTCAGAGGCCGTTTAATCCATCTTGATGAAAGGTTAGAAGTGTTCCCAGACTTCCATGGTAATCTTTTACTTTTTAAATTTTATTATTTTTATTTTATGGATATGGGTGTTTTGCCTGTATGTATGTCTATGTACTGTTTGTATGTCTGATGTCCACGGAGGCCAGAAGAGAGCATTGGATACCTTAAAACTGGAGTTACAGATAGTGGTAAGTCTGGATGTGGATGTTTTGAGTTGAACCCAGCTCCTCTGATGGGCAGCAGCTACTCTCAACTACTGAGCCATTTCTCTAGCCCCTTACTGGAAGCTTTCTTAAAAAAGGGAAATATTAAGACTGTTTAAGGAATGTTAGAGATGTGAGTTTAGGAAATATACACAGCAGGAAAATGTTTCTTGGAAAGAAACTTATGAAGGTCTTCCAGGATGGGCCTTCTGCAGAGTAGGACATGGTTCATAAAGTGATTGTGAGGCTCTGGCATCCACACAAAAGGGAAAAGATCCTCTTGTTTCTATTTCTTCCTCAAAAGAACCAACATTCTTTAATGCTAGTAGTCATTTTCGGTAGTTAAGATGAAATTCTCTTTTTTTTGTTTCTGGCTTAAACTTTTTTATTACATTTATTTGGTGTATGTATTTATTTATGTGATATATATACTATGGCAGTGTGTGGAGATCAGAGGACAAATTGTGATGGTTGGATCTCTTCTTACACCATGTGCATCCTAGAGATTAGACTCAGGCTTGGCTGTAAGTATTACCTGCTGAGCATTATGGAAGGCCCTGTTTTTTGTTTGTTGCAGACGGTTTCTTATGGTATCTTAGGCTGGCCTCTAACGTAGTAGAGTGTGTTCTTGTACTGATCTATCTGCCTCCACTTACACATTCTTGGATTACAGGTATGTCTCACAATGCCTTACTTGGGTAGAATTCTTAGGTTACGTTTTTTTGTGCTTTCGTAGTCTTAGTTAGTGCTGGAGAGGCAGAGGTGAATATAGCTGCAGGTTAGAAGCTGCATAGGGAGAGCCTGTTTCAAAAAAGCAAAAGAGGAAGTAAGAGAAAGTAGGAAAGACTGACATAGAATTTTCTTTTGAAAAGCCCCTTTAAAAGCAATCCATCTCTCTATTTCATCTGTTGATCCTTCAAAATTTTATGGCACTATTTAATTTATTTTGAAATAAGGTCTCTCTGTGTAGCTCTGGCTAGCCTAGAACTTGCTATGTAGATCAGGATGGCCTTGAACCGACAGAGATCTACCTGCCTCTGCCTTCAGAGTGCTGGGACCAAAGGTGTGTACCACCATGCCCATAGGTATTTCTATTTGTAAACTAAGAAATGGAACATCAAAATATTATACACAGGTATCAGGTTTCAAAGCAAGTTTTAAAATTACATTCATCTATTTTGTGTTGGTCTGGGGCATGTGCCATGGTGCATATGTGTCAGAGGATAACTTACCGGAGTTAAGTTCTCTCTCCTATCATGTATGTCCTACGGATTGAACACAGGTCTTCATGTTTGGTGGCAAAGGCTTTTTACCTGCTGAGTGCATTGGCCTTTTGGAGGTAGTTTTAAACTGACAAGATCAATTCACCATTTCTAAAAAGTGGTCTGTGGGTCTGAACCCTGGCCCTGGTCCAGCTGTAGTTAAGCCCTTTTACAATAGGCAGAGGAGAAGGTGGTTGAAAATGGACTGTCACTTTTGTTTTGTTTTCAAAGATATATGGGTTGGTTAACTGAGCCCCTTTGTAAGGGTTACATGTAGTCTGCCAGGTAGCCCTTTATTGTCTAAAGTGGTTAAATGTCATGGACTACCTTTTTTGCTTGGCATAGTTCAGACTTGATTTCAGACTTCGGTGACAGAATTAGGTGGACCTCTGCTAGTTCAAGGCAAGTGTGGTCTATGTAGCAAGTTCCAGGAAAGTCAGGGGTACGTAGAGAGACCCTATCTCAAAACAAACAAAAATCCACCATCCTGGTTCCATCCTTGAGTTTGATTTTACTCTTTTTTGCTTAGATGGACTATTAAACTTGAGAATAAGCAGTATGATGATGGAAACATGAACAGCATTCTGCTGGTCCTGATGTATAATGTTGGTAATAAGGAACTGATGTGTTTCTTTTGAAATCCGAATATTCTTATGGATTTTAAACTAAGGATGATTATTTTTATATAATCTTGGACTCATTTGTGGTGTTTTATTTCTCCAAGATCTTGTCCAAAAGGCCAGGAAAGCAAAGAACAAGTTGTTGAAACGAGAAGGGGATGATCGAGTGGAACCAGGGACCCAAGGATATGAATCATTCAGCTATGGAGGGGTTGATCCCTACATGTGGGAACCCCAGGAGCTTGGTAAGAAAAGTCATTAATTTATTCAATGCTTATGTTTTAGGTATCCTGTTTTAGGTAATTTTTTTTCAATTTAAAAATTTTATTTTATAATCTCTCTCTCTCATACACACACACACTTTGATTCTTTTTCATCCGAATTAGTCAGGTTCTTTAAAGAAAAAGAATATGGACCTGATATTTCAAAAGTGGCTGTCTCAAGACTGAAAGATTGAGAATCTGGTAGTTTTTAGTCTCTGTAGTCACAATATGGTACTATACCCTGGAGGATTGCTGGAGAGCTGTTGGTGTTCAGTCTGTGCTGGAATTGTGAAGAATTTTGTTTTATTACCTGCTGTAGTAACAGGATATATGAACTTGCGGTTGAGACTGAGGGCAAGCAGACTAAGAGCAAAGTTTCCTTTTAGGTGGGCTGCCACCAGAAGGTGTGGCCCAGATTAGGACCAATCTTCTGGCAACCCTCACAGGCTGGGAATGGTGGTACAGGCCTTTAATCCCATCACTTGGGAGGCAGAGGCAGACAAATCTCTGAGGCTAGCTTGGTTTACAGAGTGAGTTCCAGAACAGCCAGAGAAACCCTGTTTCAAAAAAAGCCCCCCCCCCCAAAAAAAAAGGAAAGAAAAAAGAAAGAAAAGAAAATTCCTCACAAGCAGTGCCTGACACCTTGGATTGTAGTTGATTCAGATATTGTCAGGTTCATAAACAAGATTAGTCACCACATCCCCCTTCTGAAACCCATCTTCCTTCTACTGGACCCCTTCTTTTCTTCTTCCACACAAGTCACCCTTGTAATGCCAGGTTCAAGAGACCCTCAGAGACCACCAGGAGATGACTCGATGCAATAGCAAGAGAGCTTTATTATGAGAGTGATCTAACTCAGGACCCAAGTCTCACTGACACAGCAGTAGAGAAGTGGGACCCTGAGCTCTGAGTGAACAGGATTTTTAAAGGAAAGTCTGTGAGCAGGGGTTTCCATGGCAACAAGCAGGGGGGCACAAGCCTTGGCGTTACAGAATTGGGTGAAGTTTAGCAGGGCCAGGTGACCTTTTCTGAGGCATACAATCACAATGGCTAAGGCATATAATCACAATGGCTATTTTTCTAAACCATATCCAAAACACTGGGGAGAATTTTCCCATCTGATTCCCAACCAGTTCTCATTGATTATTGCCAGGGAGATTGTCTCTATTTTCTATGAAGCATTTATTCTGTATTATTTCCTGGAGGCTGTTGCTAGGAGAGTTAACTTTGTTCTCTGCCAAGTGTACATTCTGTGATATTTCCTGGTATCTGAATTCAGCTCCCAGTCAATATGCCTCTTTACTCAGGCTAACTATACCCAGGCTAACTTTAACTCTTCACCCTCCTACTTTGATTATTTTCAGTAATGTTTTAGGAGCTGACTGAGAAAGCATCAGTAAATCATCAGTAACCATACGCTTATATCCTAGTAGGGAGAGAAAACAGAAGGGAATGAGTTGAGATTTAAGGTGGGAACTGTGTTAAATGCTTTGTATGTGGGGTTTCCTTCAAGTGCCACTGTCTCCAGGAACCTGCTGATGATCAAAAGCTGCTAAACTGCAGCAGTACAGTGTAATTCTGGGATTTTCTCATGTCAGCCTAGCCACAAACCCAATTGACAGAACTCTCCCTTTTTAGGCTACCTGACAAGTGAGGGGCATGGGAAGCTTTTGTGATGTCCATAATTATGACATCGTCTGCATAGTTACTTTTTAAACTGGAATTGCTGGGAATAGAACTGAGGCCTTGGCAAGTGCTGGGCTACAGCTTTTTTCTATTTTTATTTTATTTATTTTTTTTCCTTTTTTTTTTTTTTTTTGAGACAGGGACTTACTGTATGTAGCCCTGGTAGTCATGGAACTCACTATTTAGAATAGGCTGGCTTAGAACTCAGAGATCTGCCTGCCTCTGCCTCCTGAGTGCTGGGATTAAAGTGTGCACCACTACACCCCGCTTCTACTCTACTTTCAAATTGATAAAATAGTGTAAAATTTCTTGTGATTATTCAATTTTGTGAACATACCAAACAACTCCCAGCCCCAGCAAAACCCAGAGCGTTGAATTAATGTGCTTAGAATGACTTTATTTATTTTCTAGATTGAGGCTGGAACTCACTATCTAGCCCTGACTGTCATCAAACTCCCTTTGTATAACAGGCTGGCCTTGAACTCACAGAGTGCTGCCTGCCTCTGCCTCTCAAAGCTGGAATTAATGGCGTGCACCATTATGCCTGGCAGGATTACTTGGCTTTAAATACTGAATTTTATGTATAGGAATTACATATCAGTAAAGCTGCTAACAAAAATATGTCACATATGCTGAACTAAACTGTCTCATCTTACATATTCTTTAGCTGTGGGAGGATAACAATCACTAATTTTGTTTGCTGGGATTGAATTTCAGTCAGAAGCTTGGTAAGAAAATTCATTTATCCATTTATTCAGTGCTTATTGAGAATCTATGTGCCTCAGCCATGCTGAGTCTGCTCTGACACAAGGCTACATACTTTCTGTCCATAAAGTGGATAAGAAATGCTTCTTTCACAGTGGTTTACTTTACTTCCATATTCCAAATCTTTGTGAGATAGGCCATTCTGACTACCATTACTCCTACACACACATGGCTTGCCCATACATGGGCATTCACAAGTACACTTAAATACAAACAATAAAAAACAAATCTTTAAAAAATATATGAGAAAACTAAGGCCCTAAGAAAGGAAGCGGTACTTACCAGGGTCATTGATTACATCTTTATTAATATCACAGGGGAAGGTGGCAGTAAGTTCTAGAACTGTGTTGTCCAGCTCAGTAGCCACTAGCCATATGTGGCTATTGAAATTTTATTAATGAATCAAACAGTTTAAGGATTGCTTCCTCTACCACACTTCAGCTGTATCCCTCTGGCTGCCCTGTGGGTGTGGACATTTTTATCACTGCAGGAGAAAATGGCTTTATAAATAATGTTATTGTTCCATGACTTTCCAGGGACCTGTAAAAGAAATATCCGCTAACTTCAAATAAGTAGGGTACAGACAAAGCATAGAAAAGTTCCCACCAGCCCAGTGTGATGAGATAAATGAATTTATTGGGGGTCATTTACAGGCACATTTGTGACTTACAGCTGCACCACCAAAAAGCCCCAACCCCCTGCCCACCCAGCTACTGTTTTATTTTTAATTTTTAAATTGTGGGTGTCTTTGTATGTGTACACATGTGTATATATGGTTGCTGTGGGGTCCAGAAGAGGGTATCAGAATACCGATAGCTGGAGTAATAGGTGTTAGTGAGCTGTCTGGCATGGGTGCTGAACTTGGGTCCTACAAGAGCACTGGGTGCTCTAAACTGCTGAACCCTCTTGTCTAGCCCCAAGCTCCTGTTTTGTATGTCTTGTAGTCTATACAGAGTTAATGTAAAGCTGGATTCAGAGCATTGTCTGTGTTGAAGCAGTAGTGGTGGCTGTAGGCTCAGACCACAGAAGGCACAGATAAAACTAGACTGATGGGGTACCATGTTTATGTGTACCGTGTCCTTGCTCTGATCAGGGATTCTGCTGGTCTCAGCAAGTAATGTCTAGCTATAGGAAGGATGGCCTGTTTTGCTGCAGTCAGGAACACAGTGGCTTACTGCAAAATGCAGTTACTCTGGCCAGGAGTCAGAGGTCTACTTCCATCATAGACATATATCAGCAATTAAGAATTACATATGAAAGCTGATTAGAAGCATAAAGGAGAAATTTCAGACAAGTGAATTTTAATACTTAGTGATAGCTTATTTCCTAATTGCTAGAGTGATTTTCTGATTAATCTGCCTGCTTCAACAATGGAAGGAAATATAAATTGTGAAAGGTCAAATGAATGGAAATTTTAGAAGTTATTATTTACAATTATTCCCTAAGACTTCTAGGCTAGAATTTAGATACCAGTATATGATTAGGAAAGAAAGGCATGGATGAGTAAGTGTAGTATGGAGATGTACTATAGAGGCTCCAAACAAGTACAGATAGTTATGGTATAGCATGGTAACCATAAGTAAAAATGTACTGTACTCCTTAAATTGCCAGGTGAGTAAGATTTAAAGTGTCCTCACTACAAAAAAAATGAGTGAGTTAATGTATGTGTTAATTACCTTCATTTAACCATTACATATCTTTGTATCTCTAGTTTGTATCTAGACTTTGTATCTCTAGTTCTAAGACTAAAATTGTACGTGTGTGTGTGTGTATTTTCCTTTCTTTCTTTCTTTCTTTCTTTCTTTCTTTCTTTCTTTCTTTCTTTCTTTTCTTTTTTTTTTTTTTTTTTTCTTTTTTTTTTTTTTTTTTTTTTTTTTTTTTTTTTTTTTTTTTTTTTGTCAGGGTTCCCTGTGAAGCCATGGCTGTCCTGGAACTTGTATTCCATAGACCAGGCTGGGTTAGAATTCAGAGATCCATTTGCCTCTACCTCTGGAGTGCTGGGATTAAAGGCAAGAGCCACCACCACTTGGCCATTTTTTGTTTGTTTGTTTGTTTGTTTATTTGTTATTTAATCAATTTACAGCCTGATCATAGCCCCCTCCCTTCTCTCTTTCTAGCCCCACCCTCCTACTCCCCCTGCCCCTTCTCCTCAGAGAAGGGACCCCCACCCCCCATGGGTACCAACCCACACTGGTACATCAACTCGCAACAGGACTAAGCACATCCTCTCCCACTGAGGCCAGACAAGGGAACCCAGCTATGGGAAGGGGATCCACAGGCAGACAATAGAGTCAGAGACAATGCACACTCCAATTGTTAGGGGACCCACAAGAAGAATAAGCTGCACGTCTGCTACATATGAGTATTGGTGGGCCATAATTTTTATTTGCCAATTAGCTTTTTAAAATGGTGTATTGTGCCAAGTTGGGCGTAGTAGCACATGCCTGTAATCCTAGCACTACAGGAGGCAGAGCAGGTCTCTGTGAGTTCAAGACCAGCCTGGTCTACAGAGTGAGTCCAGGACAGCAAGCCAGGGCTACACAGAGAAACCCTGTCTCAAAAACAAACAAACAAACAAAAAAGAATGTCCATGTCAAATACTACCCATGGTCAGTATGTGAATGAAGAGGTGGTCACTGGGAAGAGCACTAAGTGGTGACAGGGAGAGGGCAGCTTTGGGAGCAGCCAGACTAAGCAGATGTTTCAGGTACACTGATCTCAGTTACTACCTGGTTCCGTTTGTATTGGGAACATTTCTGCTGGGTCTTAGATGCTACTGAGGAAAGAAGCCATTTAACTGTACTAAGGGCATGGAGTACCACTTACTGCCCCTCTCCATTTTGAGAAGAGATTATTGTTGTTATTATTATTATTTTAGTTCTTCGAGACAGGATTTCTCTGTGTAGCCCTTGGCTCTCCTGTAACTCACTATTTCAACCAGGCTGATCTTGAACTCAAAGATATACCTGCCTCTGCCTCCTAAGTGCTAGTATTAAAGGCATGAATCGACACCCCCTCCACCCCACCCCCAGCTTTTGAAAAGGGATTATTTTTATTTTAATAAAAAGCTACATTGTGCTAATTACAAAGTGGTCAAGTACCTTGTCTAAGGTGACTCTGTAGCAGAATTGAAATTTGAGCTCAGGCTAACTCTAATAAGAATTCATCTGCTATGCTTTGATGCCTCTCATGTTATACTTTGTGTCTGGAAGGGCCAGAGTTAACATTGTAATGGAATTCCTTCCATCTACTTTATGGTTATTACCATTTTGGTAAAGCTCTAAAATCCTGAATTTTTTTAAACTTGCTTTTACAATTCATTGAGGATCTAGAGAGACTTCATCAGAATCACTAACAGTCATTTATCTTCTCTTCCCCCTTAGGTGCTGTGAGAAGCCATCTTTCTGACTTCAAAAAACATCGTGCTGCAAGAATTGATCACTATGTTGTTGAAGTCAATAAATTGATAATCAGGTTGGAGAAGGTAAATTTTGTAGTTTTACTTCGCAAGTACAAATTTTGTAGAAGTCTCAATTTCTGTAGCTTGTGTTATGTGAGTGATGCATATCTGATTCTGAGAGAGCTGCAGAGGAAGTGGAAGACAGGCTTGGCCTGGGCTGTCCTTCCTGACGTGAATATCTCACACTGATAGATTAGCTGTGTGCCCAGCTCCCTTTTCCTCTTATCACTTCCATTAGCTGCTTTAAAACTTCTAGGATTGTCTATGGTAGTCACTCTGTGAGACACAATGTGTAATGTCATTGGATAGCAAACAAAAGCAGTGCCCAGCTCTGTAAGTATTCAGTCAGGTTAGGGCTAGTACGTGTTGTGGGGGCATCTTGGGTAGCCTTTCTTGTCTTATAGTGCTAGAGTATACTTGGAGCACTACCATGATTGAGTTGGACTCTGACCCTAGATACATGTGCTATGAATCTGGATTGTGTTGTGGCATGTGGTAGCACTTGTAGGTATAGTCCCCTCTTGCACTTTTGTGGTGCCCTACCCAGCACTCCAGCACCAACTAAACCCAGACCAGGAGCATTCTTTAGGTGGATTTTGTAGACAGAACTCTGTGGCAAGTCTTATTTTCCAGGAAGATTGGAGAGTCAGAGGTTCACTGTTGCTTTCAGTAGCTCCCCTCCCCTCCCCTATTCATCTGTATAATATGCTGAAACTGGTAAATGACAAGAGATTGGAAGTAGTCTGTAGATATGGAGGTTCCTTTTGGATATGAAACTAATATGCCTCTTGTGAAATTGTTTGGATAACAAGGTGGGGTGATGAGTGAGCCTTGAGAAATGCAAACATGCATTGCCTGCTGAGTAACAAAAGCTTGGAGAGTGTTCCTCCACTGGTTAACCCCATTTGGCATTGTGTTCTCCTGTTTAGCTCACTGCATTTGACAGAACAAACACTGAGACTTCGAAGATTAGAGGTGAGTCCAGACCTTTGCTCATCTCATTGCATTTTTACTTTCTTCCTGAGAACAACTTCAGAATGCTGAACTGCTTTTTTTCTTTTGTTCTTCCAAAGCAATAGAAAAGTCCGTGGTGCCTTGGGTCAATGACCAGGATGTTCCATTTTGTCCAGACTGTGGGAATAAGTTCAGCATTCGGAACCGCCGTCACCACTGCCGTCTCTGTGGGTCTATCATGTGCAAGAAATGTATGGAGCTCATTGGCCTGCCCTTGGCAAGTAGGTGATGTGGCTGTGGGCTCTGGCTCTGATCTTTTTTGGGGGCTAGTGAGTATGCCTAGGCCTTTGGGAATACTTACTTAATGGCCTACAGAATCTTCCTTTGCCTACTTGTTTGAGTTCATGAAGCCCACTACAGCCTAAACACTATGCTAGGGCCCAGGGATATACTGGCCTGAAACAGGCTGGTGAGCTTTTTTTATTTTTATTTTTTCAGAAAAGGGTGTTGAATTCCCTAGAACTAGAGTTACAGATGGTTATAATCTACTATATGTGTTCTGGGAACTGAACATGTGTCCTCTGCAAGAGCAGTAAGTGCTCTTAACTGATAATCTCTCTCTCTCTAGTCCCAAGATTTTTTTTTTTTCAAGACAGGGTTTCTCTGTGTAGCCCTGACTGTCCTGAGACCTGCTCTGTAAACCAGGCTAGCCTCAAACTCAGATTTGCCTATCTCTGCCTCCCAAGTACTGGGATTAAAGGTGTGTACCAGGACTGCCTGGCCCTGAGCTTTTTTTTTTTAAAATGGCTTCTCTGTGTACCCTTGGCTGTGCTGGACTCACTTTGTAGACCAGGCTGGCCTTGAACTCAGAGATCCACCTGCCTCTGCTGGGATTAAAGGCATGCACCACCACTGCCCAGCTCATAAGATTTCTAATAAAAGATCAGATAGTAACTATTTTAGGCTTTGTGAGGCATACATGGTCTCTTCCCTCTTAGTTTTTTTTGTTGTTGTTGTTTTGTTTTGTTTTGTTTTTTGTTTTTTTTTTGTTTTTTTTTTTAAAGAGCAACTTCTTAAAAACCATCTGGGTGGGTACATACTTGTGAGGCAGAATTGGAGGGTCCCAACATGGTTAATATTAGCCTGGGCTACATACTGAAGCTTGGTCTCAAAGGAAAATCAACAAGAAAATGTAAAACCAAACAAGCCAGGGGTAGTAGCTCTTGCCTCAGCACATGGGAGGCTGAGGCTGGAGAACTATCATAAGTTTGCTCCTGGAGTACAGAGTGAGATGATCCTGTCTCAAAACAAAGTGAAAAAGACTAAGAAACATACTCAGTTTACGAGCTATAGAAAAACAAAGAGTGGAAGCTAGATTAGATTGGTTTACAAGTAGTTATATGAACAGTTCTGGTCTGTAAGGCATTGCCTGTTTTCTCAAGGAGCTCAGTATCTAAGAGGGGAGAGAGACTCACACAATAGCTTCATAAAGGAGAGGCTGAGCGGCTCTTTATCAGCTTTGCCTAGAAGTGCAAGTGAGGTTTTGGGAAGAGGATTTAAAAATGAGCAGTGGGCCTGTCCCTCTCCTTATAAAAATTTCAAACATCTCTGTCATACAGAAACATAAGAAAGCATGCATGCGTGTGTGGGGGCTTATAAGTGATGTCAAAGAAGTACCATAAGGGATTATAAGGGAGGTGGGGAAGAATGGCATTCTAGGCAGTAAAGAATATCTTGGAATCCTGACACTCAGTTCCCAGGGTAAGGAGGGAGACACACTATGGGAAGTGTTCAGGGCACTCAGTATGGGAAGTGGGCAGGGTGTGGGTGAGACCTAGAAGAACAAGGCTTTAAAGTGCAGGTGGACTAGATGTTCCAGTACTTTGTAGATCAGCTGCTTAGATATTGCTGAAGGAAGGTTGGAGTGCAGCTCAGTTCAAGAGCACACCTGCCTAGCATGGTCAAGGTTCTGAGTTCCATCCCAGGAACAGATTAGTAACACCGAAGAGTTCTATTATTTGTACACACTTGACTTTGAGGCCTACGGACAACATAGAGGGCAAAGTCACCTTTTCTCTATCTTGTTCTTTTGCCTGCTTACTTTACCTTGATACTTTCCTTTCTCCCTGAGACCTACCTACTTTCAGGACACTGTTCACCTTTCTGCTCTTGGGCAGATGCTATCAGGTGTCCTTTATGGCTGTGTTAGGGCCATGAGTGTAAGACACAATTTCTACCTAACAGTTGCAGATTCTAGGCCAGCCTTGTACATATAGGTGTTGGACATGGTTAAAAAAAAAAAAAAAAAAAAAGGAATGTGCTCTAAATGGGCAATGGGAAATGATATGAAAAAATGATCTTTGCTTGTGGGAACCTGGGAAGGCTTCCTATAGGTTATACATCAGAGCTGAGCATGGAAAGGGTGAGAGCCATATGTTAGGGACTGGTAGGAGAGCTGCAAAGGAAAGTCTCTGGAGAACATGGGTTGTGTGGAGACTTGGGGCAAATGGAGGAAGTGGGTGTGGGATGGCCAGGTTAGGATTAGGCTTCTAAGCCCCAATGACAGGTCACCACAGGCTGTTTGGACCTGGTCTATTTGGCAACAGCATTCTTTTCCCACCAGAGTCTGACCCTGACGGTAGAGGAGTAGGTTCTTCTTGTCCAGAAGTGAAGCTCTTCTTGTTTCCCAAGTCACATCTGTGGCCTGAGTGCTGCAGTCACAGGTGCTGGGATAGGTGGTTGCTGAAGGGTCACTGCTGCCTGTCTGTTTTGATTTGTAGATAAGCTCACCAGTGCCAGCAAGGACTCCCTGAGCACCCACACCAGCCCCAGCCAGTCACCTAACAGTGTCCACGGCTCCCGTCGGGGCAGCGTCAGTAGCATGAGCAGTGTCAGCTCAGTCCTGGACGAGAAGGATGATGACCGCATCCGCTGCTGCACACACTGCAAGGGCACTCTGCTCAAGAGAGAGCAGCAGATGGACGAGAAGGAGCACACACCTGACATCGTGAGGCTCTACGAGGTGAAGCATGCCAGGCAGATTTGGCTGTTTGCTTTATACCCGCCTGCAGATTCGAGACAGTGCTCTGGGAAGTTGTTCCCTCGAATCACTTTTAGTTCCTGCCCAAGGGCCATGATATGATTTCCCATTTAAGGTCTTGGGTGAGTCACAGAGTGATCATGCGTGTGTGATAACAAACTTGTTTTCCTACCTTCCCTTAACCACTTGAAAGGAAGGAGGCCCAAGACAAGTGGGAAAGCCAGTTGTCCTGGCATTGCCCACATTCTGCAGAGAAGACAGAAGCTAAAGGTGTAGTAAACCATGGACTAGAAGGGTCCTGAGACATTCACTTGGGAGTTTCATGTTTATCAGTTTGAGCTTGTTATATATATTCAGGGCTTATATGATTTTGCTTATGAGCTGAGAGTCTCTTCTGAGTCTCAAGTGCCATAGTCTTCATTGCCTCCAGTGATCCCAGAGCACGTAAGTAGAGGCACATTGAGACTAAGAGAGTGGGATGTGACTCTGTGGCAGACCTCCTCCTGTAGGTTTCATTTCCAGCACACATCTAAGATCAGTTGGTATGTAAGAGGAAATAGAATATGCAAAGAACATCTGGGCTGAGTATAGTGGTATCTTCTTCCAGTACTTGGGAGGCAGAGGCAGAGGCAGTTGGCTCTCTGAGTTTGATGACAGTCTGGTTTATATAACAAGCTCCAGGCCAGTCAAGGCTACATAGTAAGACCCTATTTAAAACAATATATATATATATACGCACACACACACACAAAAGAGGGAACAAACCATCTGGCAATGAGGCTAGGCCAGCCTCCTAATGACAAGGTGAGACCTGTGGGCTGAGGAGAACTAGTCCAGGAGACAAGTGGGGAAGTGAAGGACAGTGGGAGTGGGGGATCACCCTGGGCAGAGCAAGCTACTTGAGCAAAACCCTGAGCCAAGGAAGAATACATTTTCTCAGTGAGCACTGAATGGGCAGTAAACATCTCTGCAGGTCATGATAGCGGCTTCTGTTCCACTGCCAGAGGTGGTGTTAAACTAGTACCGTGCCGCAGCCATAGCTGTTCACCATCCTATGTGGAGTTCATGACCTCTTGTCTCTTTTTTTTTTTTTTTTTTTTTTTTGTTACTAGCCATTATGTGTATTTCCTACTATTTTGAGGAGGAGAGCCCTGGGAGTGCCACATGCTGGTAGCTTGCTGATGGCTGGCATCACCTGACAGAGAGCACAGTGACTGATTCTTCTTCCCTCTCTAGACACATTGTGCTCTGAAAGGCTGCCTCTCAAAAGCATCTGGTCAAAAGGTTCACCCAGTGTTCTTTCCTTCCTGCAAGATTTTCTGCTTTGAAAATAGGTCTATTAGTAAAGAAACTAATAACAATAAGGGAGTAAAAAGCAAACCAAAACAAAACCAAAACCCCAGTGTTTTAAAAAGGGGCCTTTTATATGTTTCTGGTGTAACTTGGCTTATACATCAGTTTCTGTCTTCAGTGCTCACCTCTTCTCTTTTGTTCTTAGAAACTGCGACTTTGCATGGAGAAAGTTGACCAGAAAGCTCCTGAATATATCAGGATGGCAGCATCATTAAAGTAAGCCACTCGTCTCTGTTTTTCTGAATTAGTGATGACTATGATCTGGCTGGTAAGGCCGATTCTTCACTAGCTGAAAACAGAGATAGAAATCTTTTACTTGTTTTTTTTTGTTTTTTGTTTTTTTGTTTTGGTTTGTTTGTTTGTTTGTTTGTTTGGGTTTTGGTTTTTGGTTCTCTTTAGTACTAAGAGTGGAACCTATCTTTGTACATGCTTAGCACATGTTCTACCACTGAATACACTCCTGCCAAGAAAATAGAATCTTAACCCTGACTTTTCATGTTTGCACATCTGTGGACACATGTTATTGCTGCATGACTTTTGTAAATGCACATAACCATGTTCAGGTGTCAGGGCCATTCTGATGAAGTAGATTTGGCAAGGGCCTCACACCAGAAGTGCTACTACTCAGTACAGTACTTGGAAACAAGTGAGGAAGGGCAGCCCAGCTTGCCACAGTGCCTCTTAACAGTGTGTTGTAAGTCAGGATTACAACAGGCATTTCCATTTGAGCACAGATGGGTACACAGCAGCACTGGGCAAATGTAGCTTATCTTGGGTTTCTTTTCTAAAATTCAGATGTGGTTCACATACTTTTTAGTGTGCAGTTCAGTGATGTTTATGATTGTGTAGTCACAAGGTTGTTCAGTTGTCACTACCATTTTAATTCCGAACATTTTTATCACTCTGGAAAGTAACCTCAGACCTATAAAACTTGCCCTCTTCCTAGCAATCAGTGATCTATCTGTCTGGACTTGTCACTTATATGTGACATTTCATATAAATGGAATTATATGATCTTTTGTATCTGGATGCTTGCGTGTATATTTAGTGTTTTAAATTGTCACCCATGTTGTATGTAGCATGTACTATGTTATTGTCCTGTATTAAGATATTGTCGATTTATTTATGAAGTTTGTTTATTCATTTTAAATTGATGTTTATTTGGGTTCCACATACTTTTAACTGTTGTGGAAAACATACTTTCTTTTTCTTTTTCTTTTTGAGATAAGTTCTTGTGTAGTCCAGGCTGGTCTTGAACTCACTTTGTAGATGAAGCTGGCTTTGAACGTCTGATCTTCCTATCTTTACCTCCAAGTACTGGGACTACAGGCATATAGTGCACTTTTCATAATTGTGTTTGTGTGTGTGCATATATGTGTGTGTATGTAGGAGTATAACTTATTTGGGTTTTAGAGTAACTCTGCATTTAACTTTTGGAGGGACTGCAATATTATATTCCAAAGAATTTATTTATTGAATGTGTGTGGTGTATGTGTATAAGAGTGCAGGCTCATTCATCCATGGCTGGTGCTGCCTCTCTGCATTCTGTGATTTTTCCCTGCCCAGTGGGGACAGCCAATCCTGAGCACATTTTTAAACGGTTAACTTCCAGTGCTCATCCAGAGACTAGCTTTCCTGAGTTTTATGTTATTTTATTCACTGAGCAGATGCTTCATGAGCACTAGTTCTGTGCCACACACTGTTCTCCTGGTTTGTGACCGAGACATTAAACAGGACCGTCATCAAGGGAGCAAGTGTTGAGCAGGCCAACTCCAGCCATGGCAGTACTCTGAGAGAGTAAAGTGATGTGATGGAGACTGTGAAAGGGATTCAGGCCTCAGATAACTTTTTGATTTTCTATAAGACACTAGGACAGAGCCTTTATCCTAACTACTTATGAGGCTGGAGCCGAGGAGTTCAGCATAGCAAGCAAGATTCTACTTAAAAAGAAAAACAAAATCCAAACCAGACTAAGCCTGCTTTGTTCTGTTCTTATTCTCTCCCTCTTTTTTTCTTCAAGACAGGGTTTCTCTGTGTAATCCTGGCTGTCCTAGAATTTGCTCTGTAGACCAGGCTAGCCTTGAATCAGATTGGCTTGCCTCTGTCTTCTGAGCTCTGGGATTAAAGGTCTGCACCACCGCCGCCTGGCTAACAAAGCCTGTTTTTTTTTACTTCCAGTCTCCTGTCTTTTGGAAATTTTGTGGTGAAAGGTGATGGAGCCACTGTATTGAATCCTTTTATGATAGAACACTGCAGTATTTTTTCCAGCCAGAACTGTTTTATACATGGTAAATTACTAAATTTAAATTGCAGCTGCCTCCATAAAGAGTTGAGTGTAGCTTGTGGGTGGTGAGAACAGCTTCTAGCTGTTCTCATGGTCCAGAAGTTCATCACCAAGAATATGGAAAAGAAAATTCATAATTATGGCACTTGAGATTCATTACTCTGGCAAGCTTGGCTGACAGGCTTGCAAATGAATGATTATAGTGCCACAAGATGCTGCTGCTGCTGCCCTCTGGCCTTCTCTGGTATCTCCTCTTCACCCTGGGCAGTTAGTCCCATTCTGTTGGACTTGGAGTCTGGGTGCTTTTCTCCTGCTTAGAGCAATAGTTTGTGAGAGGGAGAGTGTGGGGCAGTTGTGTGTGTAAGAGGCAGCATGTGGGGCAATTATGTGTGTGAGTGTGTGCGTGTGTGAGAGAGAGGCAGTGTGGGCAGCTGTGTAAGAGGCAATGTGGGGCACTTGTATGTGTGAGAGGTGGAGTGTGGGGCAGTTGTGTGTCTGAAAGAGGCAAAGTGAGGGGCAGTTGTGTGTGTGTGTGTGTGTGTGTGTTTGTGTGTGTGTGTGTGACAGGAAGTGTGGGGCAGTTGTGTGTGTGAGGCAGAGTGTGGGCCAGTTGTTGAGGGGTAGCTGTGTGTGTGTGAGAGGCAGTGTGGGCCAGTTGTGTGTGTGTATGTGTGTGTGTGTGTGTGTGTGTGTGTGTGTGTGTGTGTGTGAAGAGGGAGGGGCAATGGGGTCAGTTGACACAGCTCAGGGGATTCCTGTCCACTGCGTAATTATTGTTCTGTCCACTGTAGCTGAGTGTGAAAAGCCAAGTTAAGTCTGCTTCTTACAGTTTACTTACCAAGTCACTTTATATATTCTATAGAGGTTGCTCAGAAAATGTGAGTCAGAATGAATGCAGCTTCATGTGTTCTGTTGATGAGGTGGTCCTTTGGGGCTGGAGAGATAGCTCAGCAGTTAGAAACGTGTACTGCTTTTCCTGAGCACTAGAGTCAGGCTGTCATCACCTATGTCATGTAGCTGTAACTCCAGCTCCAGGAGGTCTGACTTCTGGCTTCCACAGGCATATATACCCACACCCATATACATACCCAAAAATAGTAAAATAAATCTCAGAAAATAAAAGGTGGTCCTCAGAGATCTGGGCAGTGGTCTGCCCTGATGTGTCTGCATAGCAAAATGGTTTCTGCTTGATTACTGCATCCCAAGGAATTACTGCATTGTCTGAATAAGTCTAAAATGCCTTAGAATTAACAACCTGTCTCTGAGACCTTAAACACCATGAAACTTTGGCCAAACATTTATGATTTCTCCTTAGTGCTGGGGAGACAACCTACAGTCTGGAGCATGCCAATGACCTTCGAGTGGAAGTGCAGAAAGTGTATGAGCTAATAGATGCTTTAAGGTAAAGTTTGCTAGTTCATGTTTTGCTGCTGGCTAATGGGAAGGAAATGATGCTTTGATGAAACAGTGAGTAGTGGGGAGTAGATTTGGGCTTATCTACATTTTCTGTGATGGTGACAACATTGGAGGAGGGATGTAGATAGCTTTGTTATCTACTATAAATAACTTTTGGTTAAGGATTTGGAGTGCTTAGGGGTTGGGTGTTGATGAGTGATAGAATACTTTCCTAGCATGTACAAGGGTTCTGTCCCTAGGAAACAAGGGACCAAAGAAAAAGATTTCTGATGGTCATTAGTAATAAAGAAATAGGAGCTAGCTACTGTTTCCTGAAATACCCATGTACCTGTCCTTATGGAACAGGTCAGAATTAGCACCTCCATTTCATAGAAGAGCAACGTTGATATTCCCATGTTCTTTGCATGGCTGAACTCTCGAATGTTTAAGACAGTGACAGAAAGGCATGTAAGTATGGGTTTTTAGCTGCCACACCCTGTGCTGACCTGTGAAGCCAGGCTTTACTCTGTGGCCACTTTTGTGGCCAAGCATTTACCTGTGCTGTGTTAGAGTAGCCAGAGAGGCTTGCTATGAGGGACACTTCAGTTTTTCTGTGTTGTTCCCTGTCCTCATGGTATGAAAGCCTGGCAGTTCCAGAGACTTCACTCTTGTTTCCAAGGCTGGCAGCACTCATGACACTGATGCCTTTGTTGTATTTGTTCCAATATAGTAAGAAGATTTTAACCTTGGGCTTGAACCAAGACTCTTCACCACATCCAAACACTTTGAGGCTACAGAGAATGATCAGATACTCAGCTACACTATTTGTGCAGGTAAAGCCATTCTGGGGTGACATAAGTGTGTGGCTTGCTCCTTTTCTGTTGATACATTTTTTTTTTCTCTTAAAATTATGAATGCCATATTTGGAGAAAAGGCTAAAAACTACGTAAAAGTAAGGATACTTTTTGAAAAAGTATTAAACATTTTGATAGTTTCATACAAGCATATAATTTTTGTGATCATATTCACCCATTACCCACTCTCATCCCCCTCCATTCCTGCTGACTGCTTTTTCCCCCGCTAGTTTCTTCCTGCTTCATGCCTGTTAGAGTGTGTGTGTGTGTGTGTGTGTGTGTGTGTGTGTGTGTGTGTGTGTG